AGGACCCAAGCAGTGGCACATTGCTAAAATGCATTGACTGACCTGTAGGGGAAAAAGTAATTCCTCGCCTTTTTCCTTACTTTTAACGGTGGTTGGTTTACCCTTGACAAAACACAGCAAATGGTGGAAGTGTAGTCGTCTCCCTTTAAGAAAACTGTAGCTTTATGAGCAGCGAGACTTTATGTCAATCACTATATGTACCAGGGTACCTATGCACAATGAGAAACCGAAGGACAGCGTGACAAGATGACCTCTATACTGCAGGTTTATGTCAAACTCAATCACTGCAACTGCTTCTTTTTTTTAATGGGATTTTGCACCTCTAGCATAGTAAATGGTGATAGGAAAAGAGTATCCTTCAAGATGGAGTATCATATTAATGTATGCCATAATATAATAATAGCATTAAACACTGCTGTCTGGCGCAAGCCCCTTACCCACCCCCCTGTTAATAACAATAAAACCCCTCTGGTAATACACATCCCGGCTGTGACTGATCATATTTGTCATTTGAAACATTGCTTCAGAGGGGCTTTGAGTTGCTTAAGGGGTCATTTGTAGACAGAAAAAGAAAGAAATAAAGTCTGTACCTAAATCTGTCCCATCAGCAGATTTCAGTGTTTGATTTTGCCACTCTTTCAGTCACAAAATTGAAGCAGCATTTCTAAAATGTCATCATTCAGAGATTTCCCTTCAGCTAAGTAACACCTCCATAATTCAAAGCTACCTGATAGCCAGTCTTCAAAATTACCATTGAATACGGACTCAATTATAAAGATGTAGCTTGTACTTCACAAAACTGTATTTTTTTAACAGTGGTAGTCCACAGGCTGTACATACACAGGAGAAGGTACAGAACAAATTTATGCTTAAAACTTCGCATGTAATAGAACAGTTGAGACAAAAAAATTCATTTTTTCCTCTCTGGCACGTATTTCCACATTAAGCATATTTCCTCCTACTTTACTTGCAAAAATTGAAATTAAAACAAGTATCTACTAAATGTAGCTTTATTCCTTAACTTTCAATTTGGTTGTTTTATGCAGACAAATGATAACATTGCAGCAGTTTTATGGAGGTACCTCTGTATGCGTATATCAGTTATAGCAGAAAACAAGAAGGAAAAACACATTATAGCACTGTTCTGGGGTGAAGTCCATCCATAGTTTTACCACAAATACGAACTCATTAATTATAACATAATACTGCTATACATTTTTCAAGCACTTTGGATATGGTAATCCTTCATCAGATGGATGTTTCCACAAACCATCATTCTTACTGGGAATTTCATATATAGGAAATGCTGTGAACAGGAGCTGCAGCAAACTGTCTCATAGACTCTCTACTATCACTTACTGCTTTTGCTACTGTCCTCTGAAACTGTTCTTCCCTTCTCTCTCCACCTTCTCCTGAATCTCCTTGTTTTCAATTCTTAATATTCACTGTTCAGTACACTTGGAATAATGCTTATTTGAAGTAAATTCTTATGTGAAATTTTTTCTCTACTCCACTCCAGAATCTGCAGTGCTCCCATTCCATCTGAAGAACTTGAAGATACGTATTTGCTTAATTTTTTCACAACTCCATTTCAATATTTGGCTTTGCTCCTTCCTCTTTGCAGTGCCCCAGTTCCTGACAGTTTCACATATTAATGCAAAGGCTTTGGCCAAAAAGTGACCTAACGTGAGTAAATTCTTGTAATGTAGAACACTGTGGTATTGAAGAGCTAAGCACTCATCCCTGTTAACACAATAAACTCTATTCCTTCTGTTGCAAACCTCAGTTTGTTATCCTGTGGGCTCTACTGTCTTTTTTGCAATCCCACTTCCTGCTGCTCAGTAGCCAAAGGATTAGCATTAAGCAAAGCATTTCAGTCTCGTCTGCAAATCTCTGGATCCCATAACAGCAAAAGCTGATGAGAAAGTTCAATCACCACTGAACAGCAGGTCACCTACC